TAACTGTCCTCATCCTGGAATGCTGGAAATGGATGTAGTCTACAACCTGGTGATCCTTTGCTGCCTGAGGAGCCAGCCTCTGCTTATCACACCCAGATCACGAAACCCCAAAAGACCACCTGTTGCAAAACACATGAGGATCTTTTTTTTTTTTTTTTAAGATTTATTTATATATTATGTATACGGTGTTCTGCCGTGCATGTACCCTGCTCACCAGAAGAGGGCACCAGATCCCATGTGGTTGCTGGGAACCAAACTCAGGTCCTTTGGAAGAGCAGCCGGTGTTCTTAACCTCTGAGCCATCTCTCCAGCCCCCGGATCTTTTTATTACAAGCTCGAGCCCAGTTCCAGCAACCTACCTGGTGAAGAGGAGGAGTGCAGCCCTGAGCTCTAGGAAAACAGGGTTTTTAAAGGGGAAAACTGCAGGCGGGGACTCCATGCTTTGGGTAGGGGTTTTACTTTAGGCGCCAAGACCATAAAATAGTTCTGGCCTGGCCATCTGGAGAGTATTTGATCCTGAGTAATGCCTGGAATGCACTGATTAGCTGCTGCTAGGAAAGATCAACTAGCCCTGCCTGTGCTCACTAGCTAAGAGCCATCTGGGTGGGTAGCAAATCTAGCCTGATTGCTCTCTGCAGTGGGACGGATATGTCGTCTTTTATTTTGTTTGGTTTTTGTTTATTATTTATACAACATTCTGCCCACACACCAGATGGTTATGAGCCACCATTTGGTTGCTGGGAATTGAACTCGGGACCTTTAGGAACAGCAAGTGTTCTTAACCTCTGAGTCGTCTCTCCAGCCCCGGACATGTCTTAATTAACCTGGCCCTTTGTCTAAACTTTTACTCAGGACTTCAGCCATGCTGCCCTTAGACTCTAATTTTAAACTTTGGACCTCTCATGCTCACATCTCCCAGAATTTATGTTTTACTTACTCCAGACCCTTTCCCCCTAACACCTTAAGCATTACTTCTAGGACATAAAAGAGATCCTTGTGAGAGATGACATTTATACTTAACAACAGCCTAAGTGAAGTCTATGTTATCTTGGGCCAGGCCAAATCCTGACACCCACAGACATTATGACCCTCAGTCATTCTCCCTAGACCCTTCTCTTGATCATTGTTTATTAGTCAACAAGAACCCATCTTACGAACAAAGCCACATACACTTTTTAAAGAGCATCAGTGCAAATGTGTCTTAAGCTTTGTTGTACTCATGGGGCTAAGTTTTATTCAAAAAGCTTTTTTTCCAAAACTGTGCTGTGCTTAAAAATGGCTAAAATAAATGAGCTAGTGTCAAGTTCTCAAAGTCTTGGCCCAACACCAGTACCAAAATCATCGAGCTGATCATTTCATTCTTTTCCCATCCACAAATCCTAGCACTCTGGAGGCAGAGGCAGGCAGATCTCTGAGTTCAAGGCCATCCTGTTCTCCAGAGTGACTTCCAGGATATCCAGAGCTACACAGAGAAACTCTCCCTTGAAAAAGCAAGCAAACAAACAAGCTATAACTCAAGTTCCAGGGATCCAACCCCCACTTCTGACTTCTGTGGGCATCAGGCACACACACAGCATACACACATACATGCAGGCAAACACTCATATACATAAAATAATAAAATAAATAAATATTTTTAAAAATTTTTCGAGACAGGGTTTCTCTGTGTAGCCTTGGCTGTCCTAGATGCTCTTTGTAGACCAGGCTGCCTCAAACTCACAGAGAACCACCTGCCTCTGCCTCCCTGAGTACTGGGATTACAGGCATGTGCCACCTAGACAGCTTCGAACAGCATTTTTAATTCTTATCCTTTACTCACAGATAAGTGTGCTCTCACCCTTCCTTCCTCCGGGAAGTTCCTTTGACAGCAAACAGCGACAATTACAGAAAGCCATAGTAAAAGACTCTTGTCTCATCTTAAGTTAAACATAGCTAACGCCATTTTGTGAGACACTATTGTTTTATAAAACTCTAAAGGCCAGATAAAAAACTAAAAAATTACTGAGAAACCTAGCTGTGTCACCCACTTGAGATATCTGTGGTCAGGCTGCCCCTGTTGAGTTAAAAACAACTTGTTGTGACTATCCTCATGAGATATCTATCAGAGGTTGTTTTAGCTGAGATAGAAAAAAACAAAATAACAGGTGGCCACGTTAAGGGGTGGTCAATCTTGGTGTCCCTGTCAAACCGTGGTCTCATATAAACGTTCTAATCAGCCCCCTATAACTATGCTTTTCGCTTCTATACCAGTGTTTCTGTTTTAAAACCCTATAAAAACCCCAGCTTTTCATCTAGGGGGCACAAAGTCCTTTCGAGTGACTTTCTCCCCGGGTACCCGTATATCAAAATAAAAGCCTCTTGCTGTTTACATCCAAATGGCCTCGTTGTTCCTTGGGAGGGGGTCTCTCTCTGACGGAAGATATATACCAGTGCTTCTGCTCTAAAACCCTATAAAAACCCCAGCTTCCCATCTAGGGGGCACAAAGTCCTTTCGAGTGACTTTCGCCCCGGGTACCCGTATATCAAAATAAAAGCCTCTTGCTGTTTACATCCAAATGGCCTCGTTGTTCCTTGAGAGGGGGTCTCTCTCTGACGAAAGATACCCTCCAGAGATCTTTCAATAGTATGCCAAATGCCAACTGATACATCTACATCATGATACGTCTAAGGCTCAGGGAACACAGCCAAAAAAAAAAAAAAAAAAAAGTAAAGTTGTAAGAGCCCGAGGACCTAGATGTCTTCTGTGAGATTGTGTCTTTTATGAATGAAGGGAAACTACACCTATATGGTAGCCCAAATAAGACCTAAAGAATGACCCCACTAGCTGACATACTGATGTGGATAGGGGCAATCTCAAAAGGACCCACCTTTACATGAAGAGCTATAGGCCATGAATGATTATTGAGAAAGGGAGAGTCAGTCTTTCCCAGGCATGGGTTCCCTAATTGGTTATCCAATACCAAGTGGAAAGCCCTAAAAACAAACATACAAGCAACGCTCAGTGTGCTTATAAATGAGGGGAGCTGGTAATAAAGGATATGAGGCCATAAATGTAAGCTGAGGCAGACAAGGTGGAGCATTTGTGCTGCTTAGTTTTTGTTGTTTTTTTTTTAATTGCCACAAGCTAGAGTCATCTAGAAAGAGGAAACCAAAACGGAAAAAAAAAAATGTCTCCATCAGTTTGGCATGTACACAAATCTCTGTGGCATTTTCTTCATTATTGGCATTGTCTTCGTTGTTGGCATTTTCTTCATTGCTCTAACCGAGTAGGAGCAATGCCACTCCTAGACAAGTGGTCCTGGACCCTTCTATGGTTTCTGCTTCAGTTCCTCCCTACAGGTTCCTGCATATAGTTCCTGCCCTAACTTCCCTCAGTAATGGAATGTGGAAGGGAAGTATTAAAACAAATAAACCCTTCCCTTCCCAGATTGCTTTGTGTTGATATTGTATCACAACAATCAAAAGCAAACCAAGACAATTGGAAGGAAGGAAGGAAGGAAGGAAGGAAGGAAGGAAGGAAGGAAGGA